CGGTATAGATGACTTCCCTGGCCTAACGTATACCAGGCCCCAGGCAGTGCCCTGCACAGCTCAAGTATCGACCCGTGGCCTGGCCGCGGCCGGCTCAAATCAGCTGAGTCAGGCTGCGGGGCTAAAAATTGCTGTGTAAACGCCAGGGCTCGGGCTGGAGCCCTAGTTCTGGGACCCTCCACCCTCGCCAGGTCCCAGACCTCAGGCTCTAGCCTGGGCATCTACACACGGATATTTCCCTCCCTCCTCCCCACAACCTGAGCCCCACGACTCCTGCGAGCCTGACTCAGCTGAGCCGGGCCAGCCGTGGGTATTTTATCCCAGTGTAGACATAGCTAAAGCCATCTTTGCCCTTTGCTGTCCCTGCCCCAAGGGCTGGAGCAGAGTAACTGAGAATTAGGCAGTGATGTAGCCAGGTGTATGACCGTGGCTTGGCCGGCGATGTGCATGAACAGCTAACGCTTAGGAAACTTGCCGCTTCCTAAGTTGTTAATTCCTGGGTGCAGGCTGTTTCTGAGGCTTTTGGATGGTCTCCTAGGGGCTGCTGGAGGCTGGAGTGGGAAGTCCGAGAGGCTTTGCAGCAGTGGGGGGAATGCCTGCAGTGAGTCTTTCCTCCCTTCTCCCTCCACACTACCTCACCTCTGGCCTGGGATCCTCATTTATCTAAACTCCACCTCATAGAGTGCCCAGAGCCATCCAGTCCCTTGGCTGAGTGGGAACCTCTTGAGTTGGTAAGGCCTACCCTCCCCACACCAATCTTGACCATGCACTCTGCCGTTTTGTGCATGTGTGTGTGTATGTGAGTGTGTATATATATATATATACACACACACACTCCTCCTCCTGTCATTGTTGCATTGTGTGTTTCTCCAGTGGGTGGAATGGGAAAATCCTTCTCATCTGTTTGAAACTGTGACTTATTGCTGATTTATAGCAGCATTATATTGGATTTTCCATGCCTATGTCCGGGAATTAATTATGTGAAATGGGAAGCTATTTCCCGCCTTGTTCTGAGAAGACTCCCATGACATTTACACAGGTTTATTGCTTAGGGTAACTTTTATGCCAATAAACTGGTGGGTGGTGTGTGGGTGGTGTGTGTGGGTGTGTGTATTCACATCACTGCCTCATATTGGAGAGGATTTGAACTGCAGACCTTTGTTTTATGGTCCCTATACTGTACTGTAAAGTGCTAATGAAGATTTTCCTTTCGCTCAAGTGATGGGGCCTGTGCTTTTTAGAATAGGGGAGTCTGAGTTCTATCCTTGACATGACTGTGACAGCTGCTAAGTGGCATCCCATTTATCAAATGAGAATCTCAAATGAATTGACTGTCCTCCTAACCACCCATCTGAAATAGGTAAGAATTATTAGACCCAATTTACAGATGGGGAAATGGAGGCACAGAGAGGAAGTGAATTGCCAAAGGTCACCTAGTGAGTAGCAGATTGAGGCCTGGAACCCAGGAGTCCTGGCTCCCCATCCCCTCCTCTAACTTCTAGAACATTTTGCCTTTTGTGGAGGCAGGGGTGCTGGAACAATGTGTATAGTGTGGGTGCTGAGAGCCATTGAACCAAACCATAAACCCTGTATATGATGGAAACCACTTCAAGCCAGGGAGTGAGGCAGCCCCCCCTAGTCTCAGCACAGGTGTGGAGGTAGTTACAGATTCCCAGGAAGGAGGTCACCTTTGCTGACATATTGCTTGTGGTATCCTCTCTCTGAATGGGACTGGGTACCTCAACCTGGTTTTATTTGTAAAGGTTGGGAACACTTGAATAATGAGGATTGGGATTAACAGTTGACATAAACTCTCCACCTTCTGTCAAGAGGCCAGAGGGTCCTCAGAGAGCAGGATGTCGTGAGGATTGGGAATGACCTTTTCTAGAGCGGGCCGTTGCTTCCCTTAGCCTCTTCTCATGCCACTTTACTCTGAGGGCCGGTTTGCATACTGATTTAGCTAAATCTATGCAGCCAGGGCCGGTGCAACCCATTAGGCGACCTAGGCGGTCGCCTAGGGCACTACAATTTGGGGGGCAGCGACCGCGGCGGTATTTCAGTGGCGGGACCTTCCGCCGCCTAGGGCGGCAGAAAAGCTGGCGGTGCTCCTGTATGCAGCCCTCTGCTGTGGAGACTTCTATTTTGGATGAAGAGTGACCTGTTTTGATTGTTTACAGCACAGACTTAAACAAAAAATAGTGTTCTGAAAAGTGCCACGGGATCTCTCTGTTTTTACATCTCAGCAATGTGTAGGGGACATGGCTCGGTCTTGCTCTGCTAACACCCAGCTGGGGCATTAGGTTCAGGAAAGGAGGGGAGAGGGCGGGGCCAGGAAGCTAAAGAAAAATACATTCCCTTCATCCTGAGAAAAGTCCTGACATCAGCTGAACCCCAGGGGAGGAATATCTGTGACCTTTGGAAAGCGGTCAAGTCATTTGTGGCAATGAACAAGACTCGCGTGTATTTTTTTTGGCAGGCACATTTGGAAAGGAAGGTGAGAGGCACCCAGTTTGAATGCTTGCTGCAAGCCATTCATGCTTTTGCTCCATCCTGGAGAAGAGCTGTGAGCTAGTGAAAGGCAGGAAACGGAGTACTATGTACACAATGGGAACTGTGTGTGTAGAGCAGGGGTGAGCAAACTTTTTGGCCCGATAGCCACATCTGGGAATAGAAATTGTATGGTGGATGAAATTGGGGTTGGGGTGCCGGAGGGGGTGAGGGCTCTGGGGTGGGGACAGAAACAAGGAGTTCAGGATGCAGGAGGGGGCTCTGGGTTGGGGTGGGGGGGAGGAGGAGGGCTCATTTGGGGTGTAGGAGGGTGCTCCAGGCTGGGACCAAGAGGTTTGGAGGGTGGGAGGGGAATCAGGGCTGGGGCAGAGGGTTGGGGCACAGGGGAGGGGGTGAGGACTCTGGCTGGGGGTGTGGGCTCTGGGGCAGGGCCAGAAATGAGGAGTTCAGGGTGCGGGAGGGGGCTCCAGGCTGGGGCAGGGGGTTGGGGTGTGGGAGAGGGATCAGGGTGGGGGCAGGAGGTTGGGGCACGGGAGGGGGTCAGGGGTGCAGGCTCTGGGTGGCACTTACCTCAAGCAGCTCCTGGAAGCAGTGGCATGTCCCGCCTCCGGCTCCTATGCAGAGGTGAGGCCAGGCGGCTCTGCGCGCTGCCCTGTCTGCAGGCGCCGCCCCTGCAGCTCCCCCTGGCCACGGTTCCTGGCCAATCGGAGCTGCAGGGGTGGCGCGTGGAGCCCCCTGGCTGCCCCTAAACGTAGGAGCCGGAGGGGGGACATGCTGCTGCTTCCGGGAGCCTCGGCACACGTGCGTGGCACGGCCTCAGACCCCACTCCCTGGCTGGAGCAGGGCAAGCCTCAGACCCCACTCCCTATCAGGAGCTCGAGGGCCGGATTAAACAGCCTGGAGGGCTGGATGTGGCCCGTGGGCCGTAGTTTGCCCATCCTGGTGTAGAGAGAAAATCTATAGCACTACATCTACACCTGTAAACCTATGACTACCTGAAACTGACACCACTGTTAGTGTCAAAAGGGAGACTAAAGGGAGACTCTGCTCTCTCCTGGCCTAGCTAATGAAGAAGTTCCTGATAGGAGATGAAGCCTTTTATTTTTTCCTCTTTTTGTAGGTTGAAGTTTGCAGCAAAAGAAAGTTACAGCTGTTCACTTTGTGCCCCAGCCAGCCACTATCGCATGTGGAGCCAGAAGAAAGTGGGGGGCAGGGGGGCAATGTATGGTATGTAGGGGAGGGTGTGTGTGTGCTGGGGACTTTGTGTTT